ACGGCACAGCACGGACCGGGCATGAGTTACGCTGATCTAACAGCCACGGCACAGCACGGACCGGGCATGAGTTACGCCGATATAACAGCCACGGCACAGCACGGACCGGGCATGAGTTACGCTGATCTAACAGCCACGGCACAGCACGGACCGGGCGTGTGTTACGCTGATCTAACAGCCACGGCACAGCACGGACCGGGCGTGTGTTACGCTGATCTAACAGCCACGGCACAGCACGGACCGGGCGTGGGTTACGCTGATCTAACAGCCATGGCACAGCACGGACCGGGCATGAGTTACGCTGATCTGATCTAACAGCCGCGACGGGATGCAGGACGACTTCGAATGATAAAGGTCCTCACAATGCTCCAGATTACGAGATTGCGCTATAGTCTCCCGAAAGGCAACTGGGATAAGTTGGGAAACGGGCGGATCACTTCCGACGCTGGGAATGAGGGCTGACTACGTCAGAGGCTGTGGGAAGATACCCAGTCATCTTCCTATTGGCGGCGGACATGGCGCGGGATGGCAGCTTTTTTCCCTCCACTGTCCTGCGCCGGAGCGGGACAGGGGCAATCAGCGGTCATTTCCGGCGCTGCCGCGCTACCATCGGGCCGCCGTTGCGATCGTGTGGCCGCCAGCGGCCAGCCACGGCACTACTAACACGGCCAGCCGCCAGCTACGGCACTCCTAACGCGGCCAGCCGCCAGCCGCGGCACTCCTAACACGGCCAGCCGCCGGCCACGATGTTCCGAACACGGCCAGCCGCCAGCCGCGGCATTCCTAACACGGCCAGCCGCCAGCTACGGCACTCCTAACGCGGCCAGCCGCCGGCCGCGGCACTCCTAACACGGCCAGCCGCCGGCCGCGGCACTCCTTACACGTACCGAGCTCGGCTTCAAACATGTCAGAGCCGGGCGCGTATTCCACCAGTTCACTCAATACGACCGCCGTCAGGGGACTTGCAATGGTGCAGCGCTTCCAGTACCCGGATGTTTTAGCCATCCAAAGCTCCCAGCCCGAGGCCATTCCAGCTACACGGTGTTCCCAATGCATCAAAATTTTCCAGGCTGGAACCGTCCCCACGTGGACGTATTCATGTGTGGCGGCCAGCGTTCATACATTAACCACAAACGGCAGGTCACTGAGGCCACAAGTCATGTGGCCAGGGCCGACCGGGCCAGCCGGCGGTGCGCAGATAGCTGGAGCGGTCCGGCCGCCCGCGCCGGCTGCCGCGGCACCCCTCGGCCCGCCCCACAGGCCCGCCCACCGGCTCCCACCGCAACAGGCGCACTTTAAACGGCTACTTAAATAGTCATTTCCGTATTTAAGCCTGGGAACGCCATGAGCTACTGGCTTTCAAGGTGTCCCGATATCAGGTTGTCTCACATTCCTCGGCCGCAGTCGCGTAAAACAGACGCCTCAAAGGCTGTGCGTGAGATCCTCGGAGGGCAGTGGAGCGCGAGCCATCACCTCAATGCCTCGCCCTCCCCCTTCCCCGGCCCGCGGCGTCGCACACTGGCGGCTGCACGGGCGGCCGACCCGGCACTGATCAGAGGTCACGGTGGCACACAGCCGCCGCGCCTCCACCGGCTGTCGCGCGGAGGCGCGGCCGCTCGCCGGACGAGCCTCAAACTAATGCCGGGTCAGACGCACACTTACGGCGCCATTAGGTGGCGGAGACTGGCCGAGAATGACGGATGGTGGCCGGGCCGCCGCCGCCCCCGGCCGGCGACGACGGCGGCCTGCGTGACGGCCCGGCCGGAGCGGGGTCGGCCTGCGCCGGCTCCGGCGCGGTTCGCGTCAGATCGGCACCCCACCCCACCGGACCTGTGCCAGCATCAGACATCCCACAGAAGGCGTAAGTGCGGCCGGTTCGGACGACCACCGGCTATAGCGACACCACGCGGCGTTGTCTGTGCCTCCGGCGGCGCCATCGGTGCCACCGGCGGCGCGCCGACGTCGAGCAGGCCGCTCGGTCACGCTGACCGGCCCGGCGGCCGCCCGGGGCTGTCGATTCGGGTCACCACGCCCGCCGCCCAACTCGCTAGGCGCGCGGACCGCCGGCGGCGCTGCGGCAGCGCATTCCGCGCCGGTGGAAGCGCGCGCTTTTTAATCGAACCCACCATGTCCGGCGAACCAGGCCAGCCGAGACGGAGCGGCGCGTGGCGCGCGCGCGCGCGCGGCGAGGGTGGCTGGCGGTCGCTGCCGCCACCGCCGCCACCACGGCCCCGATGCATTGGCGTGCCGGGGTCTCGTACTCGCCGCCGCAGGTCCACCCGTCAGGAGCCTATCGGCCATCTCCAGACGGCGGCCGATTCCTCGATAGGCCCTACGCGTCGCTCATACGCGGCGCGCCGTGAAAAACGGTGGGATGACGATCCGCCACCAGTCCCACCGATCGCTCGGCCGGCGCAAGTACGCGGCCCGTTCCGCCTGCCGTGAGAACCGTGGCAGATCCGACCGGAATGCAGCGGTTGGCGCCGCGCGGCGACGCCTCCAGGGCGCGGCGCCCGAGCCGCCTGCCGCTCCGCTGACGCACCGGCCGGCAGCGAGCGCGCCCTGCACCCGTCCGTCCCGAAGCAGCAGCGGCGGCGGCCGGGCCGCGCGTCTGCCCTGTCGGCTCGATCAGGGACGTTCCGCGTGCCGGCGCGGCCGTGCCGCGACCGCTGGCCGCCAGAGGCGTGACGGCGGTGCATGGGCAAGGTGAGCGCGTGAGTCAGCGGCCGCGGCGCCGGCGGCCGCCCGCTTCCGGTGGTCCGGCGCCGCTCAAAGGCCGCCGTTTTTACCGCGTGACGGCGCGGCGCGACGCGCCGCGGCTGCGCCCGCTGCGGCGCGGCGCTACGCTACAAGGCCGGCGTGGTGACGGCGCCGCCGCGGCGCGGCGCCACCATCGCCCAGCGCTCGTTACCGAGGAGTGACGGAAAACCAATCGGCGCGGCTGGTCACAGCCGGCACCTGGAGGGGAGGGCACAACGGCAGCTGGGGAAGGGCGACGGCCGCGGCGGACCGGAGGGACGGCAGCCCCGGCCATGGAGCGGCCGCTGGAGGAGACCCGAGCAGATACATATGCGACACGAGCAAAGCCGAGCAAAGCCTCCCGGCATGACAGACAGGAGAAGGCAGATCTTAGCAGATCAACAGCGAGAGGCGCACGCAGCAGTCTCCCAGGAGCCGGCTGCCCGGTGGGAGGTCGGATGGACCGCCAGAGCGGCGCCGGCGGGCGTCGGCCTCGTCGGCGCGTTTCACGGCCGTCCGATCGCTCACGGTATCGTGCGGGCCGATCGGACGCCGTTCACGGCCGCGTGGCTCGTGACGGCGGCCGGCGCTCTCTCCGGCCGGCGGCCCGGCGACCCGGCGCGACCTCCGACCGCCGGCCGGCCCGGCGGCGCTAATCTCTGTCGGTATGTGGTCCGTGCTCATTTGTTTAGCGCTAACGCGAGCACCGGATCTGTGGCCGCCGAACACCGCTACGTTCCCTAAACGCCATTAATTTTCTGCACAACTCGGCCTGACGGTGCGGCCGCGGGCGCGGTGATCGCCGCGGCGTGCCGCTTCCAGGGCGTGTTCCACATCGGCGGAGGAAGCGCGCCTAACCTACTTGGGACTGCTCGGAGCAGAGGTCCGGGGACCATGATCGGCCCGCTGTCGACCAAGCCGTCGTTCAGGCCTCGTCGACAGCTCTCCGAAAGTCGGCGCACACTGAGTGCGCCTGCAGAGGCGACATCGCGTTGCCTCAGAGAAGGGATTGGTGGGTAGTGTGTGTATGTGTGTGTGTGTGTGTGTGTGCGGTTCCCACGACCACGTGACGATCAGCTTAAATCGACTCGCAAACACTCGGCTTGTTTGTTTCCCTGCGCCGAAAACATCTCCCGACTATGCCGGTCGGGTAAACACGACTACCAGCCCTCGCACCGCGGCGGGAGGCGGGGCTCGCAGAAGGGGAGGCTAGGGACCGGCCGGCCCATGCCGACTATTTCCATTTGTTTTGGCGCGCCGCGCGCGGCGGGAAGGAGCGCCAAGGGGACGGCAAATGAAAGAGGGCCAGCGCCAAACCCCGGGGCGCCGGCCGCCGCCGCCGCCGCCGCATAAATAGACGTCAGCGGAGAGTGAAGACGTGTTCCGTCGCACCACCAATAGCGCCTCCGGGGAGCGTCGGCCGGCGCGCCCCTCCCTCCCGAGCGGGTGTCGCGGAGCAGCCGACGAGCGGCGGCCGCCAGACCGCCGGCTCAGCTGGGCGCCGGTGCGCGATTGCATGTCACGTCTTCGCAGAACGGTTGAGCAAGCCCCAGTGACTGAATGGCGCATACCATGAGGCCTTGTCCGCCCACGGCCTGCGTGACGAGGAGCCGCAGATGGCCGAGATAATACCTCCTCTTACTGTGACAGCCTTATCAATCATGCTGTCGGCCGGAAGTGGTGCATTCGCCTCGCTATCGCTCCCTCCCCCTCCCCTTTCAAACACGGGAAATCCAGAACGTCGGTGACAACAGACCCGGGTTCGATCCCTGCCGACTCCCGTACAGTTCGTATAGGCCAGTGGTGCTCGCTTTACCATCGGTCAGCGGCGGCCGGGCCACAGCCGGCAGCTCCCACCGACAAGGAACATCCCCCAGCCACGGCCGACAATACAACGTCGAGCCGACGCGGCTGGCTCGGCGGCGGCCGACACGCCAGGAGCCTCGCTCTGTTGCCGTGCACACACCGCCCGGCCGGACCGCTCAGCACGCGCCGTCTGAGGCGGGCACGCACGCCACCAGCCAGCTCCGGCAGAGGGACCGGCGCTGCACTGCAGACACCGGCGCGGCGGCGTGCCACGCCCAAAAACAAACGCCACTAGCTATGTGAGCAATGATCACACCATACCGGGTAACCACGAGCGGGACGTTGCCTTGCCGACCAGTTTCAAATCATCCGCGAAGGACCTCGGTGCGAGCACGCACGGAGGTCCAGGTCCCTCCCGTCGCCGGGCGCAGCTGGGGCGACCTGAGCTGACCTACCTGGGACGGTCTGCTGGCGTCTGGAAGCCCCTGGTCTCTGCGTCGGGCGTTCTTCTCACGACAGTACCGGCTGCGCCCTCCCCACTGCCCTCGGCGCGCGCGGCACCGGCACACTGCCGGCCGCCTGTCAGCCGCCGCCGCGCGCCCGGGCCCGTGACGTCAGCGTGACGTCACACGCCGCCGCGCGCTCGGCGTCCACACGCACTGCCGCCCGCAGAGATGAAGACCCCGCCGTTTGGATCCTTCGGCGATGAGCAGGGAGTAGCCGGTCGTGCCGGCGGAGGCGATCTCTGCGGACACAGTTGGCCTTCAGATCGGCTGTCGATGATGAACGACTGGTCGGATCGTTACGAGCCACCGAGCCCGTATGGCACAATCGTGCATTCCGAGGGACAATCACATGTCTTTGGCCTTTCACCATGCGTGTAAAAAACTAGCAAAGTTGGTACGTGACCGCCTGCCCGAGACTCTAAATTGACGTGAACAAGGTCAGTAAGTTTTTGCGGGGCGTTTGTCGAAAATCCGTACTGCAATGCACCCGTAAAGCATACCTGGCAGCCACAATGACAGCCAGGTACGTAGGAAATGCCTATATTGCTGAGACACTGTAGTAGCCTCAGCCCTCCAAGCCGGTGGAACATCTGTATCAAAGGCGCAGGGCAAGGGAGAAATGAGATAAAGGTCATGTGAAACAGAGAGATCTGTGATACGGTTCGGTCATGATCACATGCTAAGTTATCATCTTGTTTGGGTTATGGGGAGAGAAGGAAACGCCATAGCAAGACGTAAACTACCCATAAACCTCTTGAACTAAGGCAATGTAAATAATTAATGGAGCGGAGTCAACCATAAAATGAACATGATCGGCCAATATAGAAACCAAACTCTGATCATTTTCAGGCTCGTTTGATAAGTTTGTTTTCCGACTCGCCCTGACCCGGAACTTGCTTCAGTCAAGACGCCAACAGTCGGCCAGCTTCGAACCCACCACGCCGCGGTGGCCCGGCCTGTTTCGGGGATCCCTGACAGCCGGCGTGCTCCCGTTTAAGCGCTGCCAGCCGTGCACCAGCGGAGCCGCCGGCACCGGCTGCAGCGCTGCACTGCACTGGTGTGGCCCGCCGGGCCCGGGCCTCCTGCGGGTCTGCAGCGTGGGGCCGCTGACGTGGAAACGGGTCAGGTCAGCGGCGAGCGGAGCCGCGACCGTGCCGCTCGCCCTGCCGGCCTCCGTGACACGGCCTGCTGCAGCGGGCGGCGGGTTCACAAACTCGACGCGCGTCGCTGTGTGGACGGCGCGGAGGAGGCCGAGGTCGTCGGCACCCGGCCCAGCCCACCACCGGTGCCGCGGTGCTTCCTCAGCAATTAGCCACGAGATCCATGAGAAGGGCAGCAATGGGGTCAGCGGTCAACGGTGTTGGGGCACACGGGTGCGTGGAAATGCAGCTGTTTGGATGTGACGCTGTGAATAACGCTTCTTTACGGTTCTATTTCGAGCACGGTATGCTTATCGCTTGGCCACATGGTAGCGGAAATGCATCCTGCCAGTGGCTGGCTGCTGGATGTCCGATGCCGCCACAGTGGGTAGGTCAATTATTTCAGGTATCGTGGGCGTGGCATCAACATTGCGCGGACTAGTCATTAAAGCTCAGAAATAAGCTCTAGTGCTGCATGGCTACTGACACCAAGGGTGTTCGGGTCTGACACCAAAGGTGTTAGATGGCTTCTGACACCAAAGGTGTCCGCAGCTGTTGACAAGCTGAATGCCCAAGTGGCATCTTTTGTAGAAATCAAGCCTAGGTGCCATTATACTGCGGCCTTTTATTGTTCTCAGATGATGGATAATCGGCAACATTGTTGTTGTTAATGATCCTGATTAGCCAATAGGTCCGGTCCTGCTCATTTCCAGCTCACCCATTGTCAAAGCCCCTTGCCCTACGCCATAGCTCATTAATGGAAATGTTCATCGGGCAGTTGCCCAGCAAAAAATTGGTTGGAAACATTAACATGAGCTCGAGCTTGGGTCAGTTTGGCCTGACTACAGGGATGCTACTTCAACGATCGATTGAAGGGGGGGGGGGGAGGGCTAGCCGAAAAGGTTGAGCTACCCTACCCGCAAAGCCTGGTTCCTCTCCGGATTTCGGCCAGCAATTTGTGTCCTCAATGTTAGAGCAAAACCAAAAATGTTCGATATTTTGTAGATTCAAAATACTCTCCTGTGGAGGAATGACTTCCCATGTTCGAAATAATGTGAGTTGACTTTTTGTGAAAAGCTTTGAATGGGGTATAGTTCAAAGAAACACGTCTGAGTAAATTTGAGCGAGGGATCATTGATGACTACCGCTGTCGCTTATTGTGTTGTATAGCCACGATTTTGCGACAAACACATTTGCCGCTGTTGGGGAAAACGTGTGGCCACTTTCACTAGGGACACCTTGCACTTGTAAAAGCTGCCGCATATTGTGGTCAATAGTTCTTCATCCCCATCCGGGCGATATCATTTGAAAAAACTTGCCGAACATCCGCAGGCTAGATTAACATATGAAAGAGTAAGCACGACTTGCTTAGGATCATGTGAATGACAACTACATTAGCTACCTTCAGGGAAGCATTGAGTGCAAAATGAATATGATTCTAAAAGTGATGCATTAAAGGAAATGTTTCACACCTGAATATACTGAAGCAAGCACCAGATATAAGAAGACAAGCTCATTTCTAACTGTTGGTATACTTTTCAAGTGAAAGAAACTGCTCTACACAGCACAGTTCTCTTTTTAGCACACATACTCCTGAAAGTGTCATGGTTTGGCTACGCCGTCGTGCCTTCCGCAACATTGGTTGAGAGCCAATCGACGGCCATGATATCTGGAGATCGCGCTCACGAACGCCAGATGTGAACGCCTCAACAATTATATTATTATTGGTCTTAATCACCGCATGACGTACGAAATGGCAGGATTTGAACGACGCTATTGTGACAGCATGAATGCCAAAAGTGACTTTGAAATGCCCTTCCCGATGTACCTTTCCCTATTTTCGCGGGCGTGCGGCTCGAAAACTGGAAGGGCTTATGTCTTAAGAAGGGCAGGATCGTGAACAGCACCGGAAGGTCTTCAAGATAACCATTTCAGTTCAAAACCCCATGTAAATATGGAACACTCCCTTTAAGGTATCTTCCATACACATAGCAGACTTAACCGTTCTGCGTTGATTTGGCCCAGCATTCCTTCCTTACCCATGTGCATTGAGGGGGCTAAGAGGAACATTGAGGGAGAGAGGCTCGAGTCAACATTGGGGGAATGGCTAAGTCCGCATTAGGAGGAGGCTCAGGCCACTCGAAATTATCTAAATTAATGCCCGTAAGGTTTTTCAAACTAAACTCCAAATGGTGTAGCTCAGTGAAAAGCCAAGGGCCTATGGGGCCTAACCTATCTGGCTGTGAACAGTAGCTTATCTATTCGTGTATAATAAACCAGCAAACAAAACACAAAGCAAAACAAGAAAAGTTTTTCCAGGATCAGTGGCTTGAGACAGCTCAGACAATGATTCCATCGAACGCAATCCTGTGAGTAGCTGTCAAGCTAATGCGACAACAGTTTCAGACGTAGGCATATCACTTTCAATGGGGTTTAAGATAATCAAGCAACTGAAATCGGGACTACAAATAGCTATATGGAGCTTGGATCAGTTATGGCCATGAGGGTCAGATCAAGCTGGTCTCAAGGTCAAAGAAAACGACTCCTTGACCGGAAAACGGCATGTGGCGCAGTTTTTCATTCTCATTTCAATTTTTTATCTCAAAGACGTCCAGAGATTTGTTATGTTAACTTCATGAAGGTTAGGAATGGTCAATACACATGGTAAACCTTTTCATTTAAATAGCTTTGACCTGCGGATATCTAAGCATCGATGCTGATTTCCAATTAGACATAGCAAAAACGATCTCAACCACTAGGTCGGTATCACCCGCATAAGCCTCACACCTAAGACGGTTTAAGTAAGCTGAGCCTAGTACAAAACCCATTCAAATTTTGCATCAACAGATGCACACTACATTTCTGAGTAGCTCTAATACCTGCTTGAGATCAATTTGTCATACAATACAACAGCACATAGCGTTTTATCCGCTGCTTGCCTCCCCCCCCCCCCCCCCGCATCCAGTTCGCAACAACCGGCGGATAAACATGTGGTGTCCGGCTGTCAGTTGAAGGTCACAAACACTTTCAACCGACCGTTCACAACATTTTCAACCTTCAACTGTACTGTGACATCACAAAATCGCAAAATCCCTGCTAGCCTGCTGCTGGTTTGGAACGGGACCGAATGGGACGGACATTACCGAGCGTGAACAGACAGGACCAGACGGGACCGAAGGGGAACAGACAGACCCGAACAGGAAAGGACGGGACCAAACGGGAACGAACGTGGCCAAACGGGAACGGACGTGACCGAACGGAAGTGGACGGTATCGATCGAACGGGAACAAACGGCACCGAAAGGAAACGGACGGGATCGACCGAACGGAAACGGACGGGACGACCGAATGGGAATGGACAGGACAGAAACGGACGGGACGGGACGGGAGCGGTCGGGACGGAAACGGACGGGACAGGAACAAACGGGACGGAAACGGACGAGAAGGGAACGGACGGGACGGGACGGAACCAGACAGAGTTCAACGGAACTGGACAGAGCCGAACTGGACCGGGCGCGATCAGGCGGGACCAGACGCAACCGGATGGAACGTGACAAACGTAAACGAAACCCCGGATGTGACAGGTAGAAATCAGACGGGGCGGAGCGGACCAAACGGGACGGAGCGGCGCCCGATGGAGTGTGATGAGCCCAGACAGGACCAGACAACGTAGGAAGAGACCGGTCCGAATAGGACGAAGCGAAGCGGGATTTAACGGTGGCGCACGAAACTTGACGCGATGGGACGCGACCGGACGGAACTGGATGGGACCGGCCGGATTGAACGGGACTAGAAAGGACTGGACAGGACTGTATGGAATTGAATGGGACCAGACCAAACCACACGGGATCAGGTGGATGACCAGATGACCAGATGATAATGGAAGGGACCGGAAGGGACCGGATGGAAACAGACGACGCCAAACGCGACCAGGTGGGACCATAGATAATTAGCGGGACCAGATCGACCCGGTCTGATCTCGCCCGGTCCCCTTCTGGTCCCGCCATACCCCGTCCCGTACCTACTGGTCAAGTGCCTTGCCGTCCGATCCTGTCTCATCTCGTCATGCCCTATTTGATCCTGTCGTACTCCGTCCAATCCCACCCGGCGCCAGGCCTCGTGCGGTTCCACCCGATCCCATTAGGTCCCACTCAGTTTATCCGGTACCGTGCAGTCCCGTCTTGTTCTATCCGGTTCCATCCCGTCCCGTCTGGCCTAATGGCGTTCGATCATGTTGCACACGGTCCCGTCCGGTCGCGTCCAGCTCCGTTCGTTCACGTCCGATTCCATCTGATCCCGCCTGATCCCATTTGGTCCAGTCTGGCCCCACATGGTCCAGTCTGGTCACATCTGGTTGCGTCATGTCCCTTTCGGTGCCGTCCGTTCCGTCCCGTTCAGAATCTGTTCAGTCACATGCAGGCTGCATGGTCCTATCAGATCTTGTCCGGCCCCATCCGGTCCCGCCTGGTCTGGTCCCGTCCGTTTCCGTCCGCTTTGGTCCGGTTCCGTTCGGTCTCGTCTTGCCTCATGGCGCTCCATCCGGTTTCGTCCGTTTCAGTCCGGTTCCCTTGGTTCTGTGTGGTACCGTTCTGTCCCATTCGCTCCTTTCGGTCACGTCTGGTGTCGTCCGATCCCGTCAGGTCCTCTCCGGTTCCGTCCGGTCCCGTACGGTGCCATCTAGTCCCCCAGATCTCAGCCGGTACCCTCCGGTCCTGTCTTGATCTGCTTCATGACGTTCCATCCGGGATCCATCCCGCGCAGTCAGTCTGATTCAGTTCGGTTCTGTGTGGCCCCGTTTTGTCCCGCCCAGACCCTTTCGGTCACAGTCGGCCTGCTAGGATGCAAACGTGTTACGGGAAGCGTCCATGTGCCACCATGGGCTCACTGCGCTTAGACGCGCATGCAATTTTCATCGGGTTGGTAGATGTTGTGGTTTTGTGACGTCATCGGATAATCAGCTGGAAGCACTGGGGACCTTCGCTTTCCTCGTACAATCAGCGAAAAGCAGCACGCGAAATTTATGCGTCGATTAATGCAAGCTGGGTGTGTGACAGGTGTTAAGGAAAACACACTTGTAATCGCATGGCAGATGGCACACAAAGCTACATGGAGCTGTTGACATTCGTGAATGTGTGGCACATTTACGGCTTCCAATACTGTATGGTTTGCGTTCTAGATTCAGTTGATTCAGGCCGTTGTGGGAAGTGCGAGGCCCATTCCCACGATGCCACTATTAGCGCCTGCTACCTAACCTACCTATACGATTCAATTGGACTATTCGGTCATTTATACATGCATGCACTCATGTACTCGAGCCATTCCTGAACCCAATCGGCCGCTTACGGAGTGTAGCAATCCCAGGGTGTATATTGCAGAATCTTGAATTCTTGCTCCACGCAGCCCACGCACAACGCCCTCGAGTTTAAACTTCCCGCCCGTTTTGGCCAAGTACCCGGCGACGGTGCGCTTTGTTGTTTTTGCTACAGTTCTACTTAACTTTACAAATAAGGCATGGTAAACCTAGTAATGGAAATTTATCAGTATCAGTTTAATCTTATGCACAGCACATTTGCATTTACTAAAGACTCATAAAACCAAAAAAATTACATTAAGTGATAATTGTTCCGCTTTTATATTCAATACTTGGTAAAACAGTTTTCTTGTTATAGATTTGTTTTTCAACTAACACAATTTTAAGATATGCTACTACATGAATACACCATGCGGCAGCTATCGCCGCAACTGCGTGTAAAGTGTAGCATCTCAACAGTCATGCGGTCGGCGTTGAGATCGTCGAGGTCGCTTGTCGGCCTTGGGCTGTCCGCGAATGCAGGTAGGGGTGGGACTGTTCGTATGTCGTTTATTCTTGTTCGACTTCCTGCTCTCTTTGCAGAATAATTCAGGCTGCGATTTCACGCTCGCTCCTGTCTGATGATATTTTTCAAGGTTTGGTCTCGTTTAAAAGGCCTGAAGTATTATCGCTCCGGAGTGGTATGGAATGTGCGTCTTTTACGAGATTTGGGATTGTTTTTTATGCTCCTTAGGGTGCTCCTTAGTGCGCCTTAGGGTGCACGCTATGATGGGAATATTAAATGATATTTTGAAATTACTGGAAACATTCTTGTGAGACACCCCCTATGTAGCAGTAGCATGAAGGGAACAATTCTAGAGAATTCACATGTTGTGTTGGGAATGTTTCCTCAATATTTGGTGCATGCTCACCACCAATTTCAGTGCAGAGAGAGAGGTAATTTTTCAAGAAGTTTTGATGTGACATGTGTAATTTTAGGTGACAATAGTGAAAACAATTTAAAAGTAATTGTAAAATTCTGTAAATTTGGCATGGTCTGATATGGGCCTACAAAAAGCCCTGTCATCATTGTTGAATGTACTGAACATTATCATCACCATTCTGTGGGCTGTGAGCAGCTACTGCTGAGTTCTGATGCACCAACCACCAATCAGTTTAACAGTCATGCTAGTGTTACTCTGCCAATGACCATAGATGCAATGCCTAATTTTTGTTTTTGTTTTATTACATAGATTTGCCCATTCACCATCATTTGTGGTGTAATTATGAGGCAGATGCAGTCCAACAATGATTACAACAGTATGTTATGCAAACCATGCAGCACATCACAAGCATAGGGCACAGATATGGTTGCTTGTTATCTGGTTTGATATTTCAGGCTAAGGATATACAGACCTCAGGTTTGGTGATTTAGTGTTGTTTGGTGATAGGTGTTGCTACTGTCTGGAATATGAGGCTGTATGACAAAAAAGCTCTTATTGGATTACGTACATACAAGCCTAACATGGTGCATCATAAGTTACTCGGTATTTGCATTTAACAATTCTAAAAGACTGCACATCAGGCTCCCACATTTAGTCAGTTAGGGAAAAATGATGTAAGTAGAAAATTAGTGCCATAATTCTGATTCCTACCTTTGACCCTACTAGCTGGCTCAGGTCGCAGACCCCCACTCAGCTGGCAGACCCCCACTCAGCTGGCAGACCCCCACTCAGCTGGCAGACCCCCACTCAGCTGGCAGACCCCCACTCAGCTGGCAGACCCCCACTCAGCTGGCAGACCCCCACTCAGCTGGCAGACCCCCACTCAGCTGGCAGACCCCCACTCAGCTGGCCCCTAATCCCTTCACACCTGGCAGTGACCTGCATGTTCATTTTGTGTTGATGGGAATGGGTAGACACCTGCTTGACAGTGTTCTCTACATAATGTGGTTTAGTTAACCTTGAGGGAGGTAGGAACAATATGATGTGGAAACCCAATTTAGGTTTCAATGAATTCATACATTCATGATTGTCACCTTAACACTGCTGTTAAACTTTGTTGTCATACTCTGTTGATATTGCTTACAACTCAGCAAATTAAGTCAATTTTTTATGGAATGTGACAAATATTGGCCTTCACCCTTTTACAGGATGTTACCAATTGCCAGGGGCTCAGACTTGGGCATTAGTGCTCATGGGTCATGATGCAGCCTGGGAGGGAACCCCAGCTCACCATGTGGGAGCTGGAGGCTCATACCGTACCATCATGGAGGCCACAGATTGTATTGTGGTGTAGTTCTTGGACAGTCTGATGGGGTTGGCAGTCACCATAATGATCTAAACACTGCTGGCAGATTGTCACTGTCTGTGCCTGCCCTCCACCGGGGTTCGTGATGGAACAGGGTAGAGAAATGTGTGCGGTGAAAGATCCAAAACCTTAATGGAGATTTGTAAGGGCATCCCAGTCAGTGACATTTATTTCTCTGCTAGCAGGTGTCCATGACTGATGGGTCACAGGAACCATTCTACTGTCTGTGGATCCATGACCTGCTGACATCAACCTTCGATCCGGAGAGCCGGGTGTCGACCTGGGGTCAGCTGCGGCTGAAGAAAGTGGACATCCTCGGCACTGTGGTGGCCGCACGAACATACGAAAAACGATCGGAATACGAAGGTCAGTGCACATTTTGTTTCCGTGACAGGAAGGCAGGTTGTCGGCCATTTGAAAGGAACCGCGCTATCTTAATCAGAAACGCTGCTCACTTGTTTGAGAACACGGAAATGCTTTTTCCCGAGTGGTGAGAGCTACCAGGACTCCGGGTGCATTGCCCGCTTTCAATTTCACAGCGGGCACGTGTTCCCCACCCCCCTCAGGTTCCGAGATGCCCGAAGACCCTCTGGAGAGGCTCACACTCCACTGCCAGCCAGGGCCCCTGCGTACTGATCAGGGGTCCCTTGAATCAATAGCCGCCTGAGGGCCCATTCCCCGAGCAGGGACAAAGCCGGAGCCAGTGTTACATTGGTCGGGATCCCGGTGTCTGGCATGGCCCCATAGGTGTCTGGCAGAGCCCCCAGGGACTTGCTCGTGATTCGGCCAGAGGCAGTGTTCGAATAGGCCCGAAGAGCCTGGAGGGCTCACCGAGACCAACGATCAAGGGCCCATATGGAGGGCTTAAGAGCATGAATGGCCCGTCGGAGTCCTGTTCGGGGTCCCTGGCCTCCGGGGACGGGCCCTCATATGACAGTCAGAGGGCCATTTGCGTCCATCGAGGACGGGTCGTGTGTCGGCTAGTGTCCGCGAATTGGTCATGGGCTTTGTTTGAGGAGATGTTAGTCTTACAGATAATGTATGTTGACAGACTAGATGTAGGTCATTATTGAATGGGGAGGAAAGCTAATTCTGATGCGTGATGATTATCATAAATAATGTCTCCCCTACGAAGACGTTAGAAAAGGTTTCTAGAGTTTTTCTAAATCCAGGACATCCTGTGGAAAACACCCCTGTGGTAAGGTTTAGACCACCATCTCGCTGTTTGAGAAAATATCCAAGATCTTTCTCCAGGATAAGAAGTATACATTGTGCTACAACTGTGTCAAGCCCTACTCGTTGCTGACATTGTTGAGTACATTAGTCAGTGCCATGATTGGGTACCGATGTGAACAGTTTTGATCGTTGACAATGTTTTGGTTGCACTGGCCCCCCTCATCGTGTTCCTTTTGCCTCCTCAGTGGACGACGGCACTGGCGTGATCCACGTGTGCTGGTTCCACCGCGAGCCAACGCCTTCCGTGGCGACGGCGGCGGCGCGGCCGGCCGAGCCTCCGCTCGCCCAACTGCCGCTTGGAACGCGGCTCCACGTGCGCGGCGGCCTGCAGGAGTACCGCGAGCGCAAGCAGGTGGTGGCATACTCGCTGCGTGTCGTCACCGACCCGAGCGAGCCGTGCGCGCGCGTGTTTCGCCAGGCGGCGCTGTACCGGCAGGTGTACGCGGCCGGCCGCTGACCGGTTGGCCGGCGGCGAGGCGCGCCGCCGCGGACATGGTGGAGCCGCCGGAGCCCCGGCTCGGTACGCACAGCTTCAGCTGTCGCCACCAGGAGACGATCGTGCACTTCCAGGTGCTGCGGCTGGCCGACAGCTTCCTCCTCTGGGCGGCCGACGCGCCCTGCTTCAAGCAGCTGGCCGTGGCGATGCGCTCGCCCGTCTCGCCGGCCCCGGTCGCCTCGCTGCTGCTGAACAAGGCGGGTCTCGGCGCCAGCGACAAACTGGCCGCCAAGCTGGCGCAGCGCACCGGCAAGCAAGTGTTTGTCAGCTGTAACGTCAACCTGGACGACGCGGCGCTGCGCCAGGCGGTCGAGGCGCGTATCGTGGAGGAGCTCAAGGAGCATCCGGACAAGTTCTGAGGAAGACCAGCTGGGAGTGGGAGTGGGGGACACGGCGGCCGGTGAGGACGGCGCTCACGTGAGCTGCCTGTCGTGGTGGCTCTGTTGTGATCGTGACTGCCGCTGTTGGTCGTCTCGGCACCTTGTGGCCGGACTGTGGAGTGCTGGAAGCCGCCATGCATGAGGGGGACGGCAGCGGCCCGTGTGCCGGTCTCCAGAGGAGTGCTGGTATGGAAGACAGGGCGCGACAGAGGCGCCGTCTGGAGGGGGAGAGCAGGCGACGCCACCGTCGCGCCGCGGCGCTCGACCTCGACCGACCCGGAGTCGCCGGGGTCGCCCAACAGGGTCTGGTCAGTAAGATTGGAGAGAAGCGTGCTATGCTGGTAATCTTGTGTCACTTCTTCTGCCTGAAAGTGGAGTTGAACCGTCGTGAAACACTGACGTGGGCTGCATTCACCCACACTAATTTGTTGTTGCTGCACTTCCTTTAGTTCGGTAGCAGTTTTTGGTGTCGCTAAGCTGTGGCCATATCCGTTGGCTCCGTTGAATACTGCCACCAGTGTGCATCCCCGGGGGAGGTGCCCTCTGTGAGTGAGCTGGTGACGCTGACAGGTGCCCTCTGTGAGTGAGCTGGTGACGCTGACAGGTGCCCCCTGTGAGTGAGCTGCTGACGCTGGCAGGTGCCCCCTGTGAGTGAGCTGCTGACGCTGAGCGGTCCGGACGGTCCGCCGCTGACCCCGGACACCCTGCGGCGGATCGGCCGAGGTCTAGCGCAGAGCGCGGCGGCGCGCGCGGCCTGGACGGCGGCGCCGGACGGGCGGCGCCGCCTGCAGCGGCTTCTGGCCCCACTGACGGGTCAGTGATGTTCGGCCCAGCCAGCTGTTTGTCTCCCCCCCCCCCCCGCCGATGGAGGTCCACCTCAGCCTGTGGTGATGGCGTCCCCCCTCACCCAGTCGATGGAGGTCCACCTCAGCCTGCGGTGATGGCGCCATCCCCTCCCCCGCCGATGGAGGTCCACGTCAGCCTGTGGTGATGGCGCCATCCCATCCCCCTGCCGATGGAGGTCCACCTCAGCCTGTGGTGATGGCGCCCTCCCCTCACCCAGCCGATGGAGGTCCACCTCAGCCTGTGGTGATGGCGCCCTCCCCTCACCCAGCCGATGGAGGTCCACCTCAGCCTGTGGTGATGGCGCCCTCCCCTCACCCAGCCGATGGAGGTCCACCTCAGCCTGTGGTGATGGCGCCCTCCCCTCACCCAGCTGAAGGCGCCCTTGGTAAAATTGCGTTCGCGGCAGTCCCAAGGGCATATGTTGCATCGAATGTGCGACGATGTTACGTGCTGTTTGTGTCTTCGGATTCGTCTGGCCGCCTGCGTCTTGTCTGCCGGGGCGTAGTCCTAACTGGTGTATGTGCGCTGTTAGGTTGCCGGGAAAGCAAAGTCGTCTGTCCTGAAGGTTGACTTCGGTCGGATTTTCCAGTTACGGTGCATAATGTTCATGTCGAGTCTAGGGCAGTCATTTTTAGGCCTGCTGTTTTTTTTGGGGGGAGGCAGGCGTCATTGCCCACATGTTACTGTCGTGCCGCGTCGCCAGGTGATGATCCGGACGCTCAGCTGGAGGCGGCCGCCTGCCTGACGAACGTGGCGGCCGGCCCGGTGTCGCTCGAGGTGGCCCAGATGGTCGGCAGCTACCTGGTCACACTGTCGGCCAGCGCCAGCCCGCTGCTCCAGGTCAGGCTCCAGGGCCTGTCAGTGGTGACGGGGCGCGCTGGCGACCGAGACCGGGACACTCTCGGGTGGCGCCACTCGCTGAGTCATTTCAGGTCAGGCCGTCAGGTCCCTGAATCCACGTGTTGCAGCTGTGGAGGCGTGACGACACCAGAACGACGAACTCGGAGTAATGTGGTGTTTGTCATGCGGAACAAGTCTGACTTTGGTCGTCGCACCTGCAGGACCAGTGCATCTGGGCTCTGGGGAACATGGCTGCCTCCGGTACCGAAACCTGCGCCTTGCTGGCCGCACAAGGCATGACCGCTGCTGCCATCTCGTGTTTGAAGTCGATACACAAAGTTGTTCGAGAGTCCGCCGCTGCAGCCATCGCAGTGTTTTTGACGCATGCCTCCGAGGAAAGTGCAAGGTGAGCAAGTCACATCAGATTAGGTGCGATCGTGATCTTGTCAGTCCTCTCTATCTGCCTTTTTCTCCGTGCGACTTGCTTTTTCACGTCGGAAGAACGAAAGCTGTGTAGTTGGGACAGTCATTGGTCCAGAGTGACATCTTGTCGATGGTTTTCCAAGGACGCCAGGTAGCCAGTCGAGCTGGACGGTTTGAGCAAGTTTGACTGCGGGGGGTAAAAAAGGCTTGTGCTTTCCCAGTAGCATAGTTGACAGTGTTGCGACAGATGATGGGTTGGTCACTTTAGTGAACCCCCGCCACTAGCGCTAGAGTTCCATGTTCGCCAGCCATCGGCCCCCATTGGTGCACCATTTGTGCGTTCGCCATGTCTGCGGCGCAGCTGCAGTCCTTCACCGCCGCTTGCCGCCGTTCGCAGCCGACTGGCGCCGGACCTGCTGCCGCTACTGAGCCAGCTGCTGGCGTTGGACGCGCCCGCCGCCTGCCAGTGCCTGGCGGCGGCGGCGGCCAGCCCTGCCGCCGAGTCGCTGCTGGCACCGGCGTCGCCTGACCTGCTTACCTGCGTGGTGGACCTGCTGCTGGCGGCCGTGGCCGAGCCGCTGCCGGCACTAACGGTGCTGCGCGCCCTCACGCACCTGCTGCGGGCACTGGCGCAGCTGGTGCTGGCGCCGGCCGTGGCCGTCGCGCTGCTGCGCCACCCTGCGACTGTGCGCCTGCTGACCGGCCTGCTGCGCCACCGGCAGCGGCACGTGCGCCGCGAGACGCTGCTGCTGGCGGCGCCGCTGCTGTGCGCGCCGTCGGAGGCGGTGCGCCGCGCCGCCGACGAGGCCAGCCTGGCGGTGCGCCTGGCGTCGGTGCTGGAGCAGGTTTACGTGGGGGTGCGGCCCGACGGCGCCGGTGTGGACACGGCCGCGGCTCCTGCGGCGCTGGGCGGCGCGCTGGGGGTGGGATGAACTCTGAGACGCCTGGCTGGCTTGGCCGTTGATGGATGTCGCGCAGCTGTGGGGGGCTCCTGGCGGTGATGATGCGTGCCAGAATTGCTCCGAAGAATGCAAGAGCGCTGTCTGAATATGGAGAGAACTGCGATCGGTGGTGCGTGTTTGCGTAATGCGTGGATGATGCCTGACCTTTCGAAATCACGTTCGCTTGGACCTACGCTGACGTCGCACGGACTGGATGCGGCTGCTTGGTCGTGGACTGCGTCCCGAGTGACCTGGGAAGCTTTTGATTGTGATTTGCGGGTGATGCGGCGCGTGCCCGGAGTGCGGCATGAGATGCGCTCGGTTTCGAGAAGTGTTTGTGATTTACGACCTGCCACTCTAAATAAAGGAGCAGACGGAGTCTGCACCGGCGTTGCAAAATACGAGCACAGAATTTGCGGCGGTGTCATGCATTGAGTAATCCGTAAATGGCGACCGCACCCGGTGGCGTTCCGGCGGCCGCAACAGACTAGGAATAGACGTGTTCTGATGGGGCGCCGGCCCGTACCCGCCGAAGCACCCCGCTCTCCCGGCCCGACGCCGGCCTCCGCAGGCTGGTCGCGCCGCTGCGGATGGTGTTGCCTCCCTGCCCGAGGCAGGGTCCCGCCGGCCGGCGCGCCGTCCCTTGCCGGCTCCGCCTGCACCCGCCGTCTCCGTCGTCGCCCGCTCAGTTCCGACGGGTCGTATTTACGGCGCGGCCGCCGCCGCCGCCGCCGCCGCCGCCGCCGCCACCACATCAGCATGACAATACGGCGGTCGCGTCTCCGCGGACATATACATGGCGGCCGTCGGCGGCGTTATCGCGCCCCCGCCGTCACCGGACGCGCTCTCCCTCGCCTTGAACAGTCCATTCGTGTCTTCCCGCCGCCAGTTAGTATCTACCGTCCGCTGGGCCGCGTAGCTTACCATTTTTTTCTCTCCCTCGGGCCGCCTGGTGGCGCGGGGTCAAGGTTGGCGCCACTTTCTCCGCGCGTCGCCCGGCTGATTCACCTTTGGACGGCCGACCGACGCCCGCACGCGCGCGCGCAGTCCCGCGCGCCTTTTTGCGCCGCCGGTGAATGCGTCTGTCCGGCGGGCGCGCGCTTTTTGCGGCCGCAGGATCAGCTTAAGCGTCGCCTGACCCGGCTGACGGGCGCTGTCAGCTGGCACAGCGAGCCCAGCGCACGGGATGTGCCTCAAAATCGAATGCGATATGAATGCAACCAGGGAATGCGATGCATATCCCCCTATGGTATTTTATGTGATTTGCGATATCCGCGCAGATCTCTTACATCGCCGTATAGCGTCTTGCATGTCGGCTGGAGAACGCGTACTGTGCGTCTGCGCTGCCGTCCCTTGGGAAGTATTACTTCGAAGAACCCCACGTTCTAGATCCGGAATTTTATTCAGCACGTCATGGTGCTGCTGGCGTCGCGTCCCGCCAACAAGTGGCGGGCGTCACTTTATGGCGGGCGGATACAACACGCCGGCTCCGATGACAGCGGCAGCGAGCCGGACGTCCTAACAAGGAGACGGCGATCAGCTCGGGGGGGGGGGGGGGGGGGTGCAACCACGTGCTTCCTGCGAACGAACAACACGCTGCATGAAGTGGAAGACCATTGAGACAGAGAAGCTGGGAGAGACTGTACGCTGTTCGCTATCCGATCAGGTGTTAATTTGACTTATCAGTCTTTCATGCGCACGGGCTCAGGGCACACAGGTTGGCGGTTGCAACCGTGCCCAGTCGCGAGTGCCATATTATTGCTTCACTGTGGATGGGGTCGGATTCTACTCTGGAATCAACCCAATGTCTGTTTTAGCCCGAGCAGAATCAGTTCCTGGGGAAAATGTGGGAGCTGAGTTGGCTCATACATTTAGATGTTACAATGTGGCCCCAGTGTAGTGTAGCTGATTCTCCCAGATGGCTCTTGACGAGAACCTACCCATAGGCCAGCAGGCGAGCACACTTCTTATGTGTGGTTTGTGTAGGCCACCACGTATACGGAATGTACGTAATGTGCACGCATATAGCTGATGTTCTTCCATTGTAGGTGGTCTGGACGGGGGATGACATAAATGATGATGACTGGTAGCTACAACAGCTCCTTACTGTTGCTGTGTGCTAGCTGGAAGTCCTTACCAAAACGGGTTCTGTAAAGTTTTCTCTTTAGGAACAGTTTGTCTCATGACCTGCTTTCCCGACATCGGCTACACTGAAATTGATCTCGGAATGCATGCACAAATTTCTGAATCAACAAACTAAATCAGCCTCAGGCGTGGTGAGTCGAGGTGGCAACCAACCGCAAGTCCCCTAGTAGCACGCATCGCCCAAACCGTAGCGAAATGGCAGGTAAGAAATGGTGTTTTTGATCACCGGACGATGCCAGTATGGAACGTCTTCTCTTGTTGCACCGATGTGCGTTGAAAAAATCAGTCTCTCGGCGTTCGATAGGCCTGCTCGAGCTACGTGGTCTTTCACCGAACCGTGCATGATCATGCGCTTGCATTCGTAGCATCTGTCTTGGTTCTCGCAGATGATCGGATCGATCGGGCTGAATAATAAGCTGGCTCGTACTCACCTGTCAGCGTCTACGACTGGTGATCATTAAATGCCGACTCGCTAGGGAGTCTCCACTCTGTATTCGCTGGGAGTGCTATGAGTCACGCGTGATGTCATGCAGCGGGCTACAGCGATGAAGAGCCGTGACATGCATGGGGTATTTTTGCCGCAACATTTGGAGAGAGCCTGCCGCAGCCTGCTTAAGGGTTTGGTGCCGGATGTTACCCGACTGGCGCCGTCACGAGTCCTCTGCTGCAGCGGTCATGGCCGCCATGTTTGACGACAGATGGCTCGCGCAGTCGCCCTCTTGCCGGGCCGCAGCCTCCTCTCAGCGGACCTCCCTCGCTCCGTCCACTATGCTCGGCAGCCTCTTGAGTGGCGGGCAGAGTGTTTTCGCCCGGCTGGCGGCACCTGCAAAGGACCGCAGCGCACAGCCAGCCGCGCTGTCGAGCAGTCGGCATGATCTCCGCGATAGGCCGCCCTGGCGTGCATATCGCAGCAGCGATTCTCGATGCAGCAGCCCACTGCGATGGCAAATAGACGCTCTGAAGACGGCCGCCTGCATTCAACGATGCAAATATGGTGTGTGTGCGTCTGTACAACCGAACATCAAACGGTGGTATCACGACACTGACGGCTGCTGCGTGCAGCTACTAGCTGTACACGGATCTAGATTAACGATAGGGGTATACGCTTCTGTAGGATATAGATGCCGCTCGGCGAGGGAGGGTCAGCCGGTAACTTACTTCTGCCTTCGAATGAAACCCCCTTAACCCGCGGCGTTCTCGGAATCCGTGGACAATGAAAGTAAGCTGCATGTTTTCCGCCTCTGCACGTATTCAGTCCCCTGTCCTTTTTACATTTCTGCCCCCCGTCTACCCCAAAACTTGGCGACGTCACGGCTACAGCAACCGCCACGGCACCAGCGCCGCGGACCGTCGGCGCCCCCCACTACCGCATTACGAGTTATGGGCGGCTACTGCGCTCCGTTGCACTGGCGTTGCGAGCAGTGCCTGCTACCGATTACAGCCGTTGAAAGGGTGACTGGGCTCGCTTGGGCTGGCCGCAGACCCTCCAGCCAAGCCTCATGAACCACGTGGACCCCGTCTGTATCAATCTGCTGTAGTGCAAGTGGACGGACCTGTTTGGTTCACTTTCTGGTCCAATGTAACCTACCCGGCCCGCGGCCAAGCAATGTAACAATGGTCTGGGCAAACGGCCCATTGTAGGTAGCCGTGTCTGTTGTGCATACCAAACAGGGCTTCACCGAGCAGGCGCGGCAGAAGGAGAGCCGCGCGACCTTGCGTTCTCGCAGGGCTAGCGCGACCCGAGACCGGTGGTTTGACTCTCGTACAGGCTAAGCGCTTCGGCAATGAAAATTCACGGAAAGCCGGCCACGAGCCTGGTGGGGTTGCAGTGGTGTATCGAGTCACCTGCAGCAGGTGACCCCGAGCAGCTATCTGCAAGGTCCATCAAGACGACCTGTCCCAAGACAGCGGAGGCGCGACCAGTGTCGGAATGGTGACGTAGCTCAGTGCTGCAGCTTGGCAAGCGCAGATACGCCATACAGGGTGATGGAGTGATTTCCATTCAAAGGTGGCTTATGTCACATGTCGATTTAATTTGCATTAGAGCTCACTGTGCTAGGCAGCAAGCATGATTTCGTCGACTGCTTGGGCCGGCAGCCGAAACATTTCTGTTCACATAGCTGTGACACATACGTCATCTGAATAAAAGCGTCGTGGTAACGTTTAGAAGCCGAATCACGGGCTGAATTCATCAGCTGAATGAACATTGTTGTGCATTCTGCGACAGTCCACGACAGGCAACCAGCAGCCTGTCGTCAGGGACAACTAGCATGCGTCTACATATATATATATATATATATATATATATATATATATATATATCTATATATTGGTACCCAAGAGAAAGGCGACGTCTACAGTGAAGAAAGAAGTGGGTGGGAGTTTGCCACTTCTACTGCTCGAGCTTGTAAGTTGATGAAAATGGCCTGCCGTGTTAAAGAGCACTCTGACAGCAAATGAGCCGCTGAAGATTACGGCCATACTTCAGCGGATATTTGGAGGCAGCAGTCCCTCCTACGTAGCAGTTTCCATAATCTGGACGTTGCTCGCAGTTGCACCTACATTGTTGCAGTTATCGCCTCAACTTTTAACCTAATGCAGAACTGAAGGCGAGCAACTGCTGAGGCGAGCTGCATCAATGGAGAGCATTGCGTCCAGATGCGTCATTGCGCACATGTGTCCCTGCACACATGCCATGCTTCTTTTAACAGCGTTTTACGTCAGATGCACTGACCCATGCGACATTTGAATGCATTGCGTGCGTGTACTACGGGATGCAACATTGACACG